TTTTAAAACCCTGGAGGATTTTACTTTTTCATGTGATTAAAATTAATAATATCCAAAGGAAGCTAAAAGAAAACAAATAAAAAAACTCTTTACCTACACACGAAAGATACTAGGTTTGATATGGTTGGCCAGAATTCATGTAGAACACCGCACTAATGACAACATGGTACATGTTGGTAGCTGCCGAAATAAAAATAAAAAAAGAAACAAATGGATTACCAATTTAGTTGTCATGGTAACTCCGAGTGGTTGCCATAAACTACAAAATAACTCATTATCTGAAATAGGGATGGTCAGGAACGTGACCGGTAAATATATTGAATCGTTTGGTGTTTTCTGTTATTGAATAGATTCTTCATGAATATTTCTTTCATTTTTATTTCTGTTGCTTTTTATTGAAACTCATTCATGTGAAACTGGAAGTCAAAGGAAAAAAAAAGGCTTTTAATAAGAGCACAAGGATTCGCCGGCGTGATGATTTAGATTAGTACTGGGTGCCCCGTTTATAAGGCCACGTGTCAGATTAAGCTTAGATAATACCCATGTACAGAGGTGGGGACCCCTATGTTTAGTAAAATTCTCACATAAACCGATTCGTAATGAGTTAGATTAGAACTGTTTGCGCCATTCGTAAAACCTTGTGCCAGACTGAACAAAGCTTAGCTTCTTATCAATTGTATTGCCTTTTTATCTACTTTTCATGTTTTTTTTAATGTTTTTCTTTCTTTATATCATTTTTTCGGATTTAGTCGAAAAAATGATGCAAAAATACTTATTTTTCGCTATAATTTCTTTTGTCAATGCACTTAATTCTGTGGTGAATATTAATCATATAAATCGCACATTATACAGTGTGAGGCAAACGGTCGCCCACCATAGAGGTTAATAGATAGGTTTGAAGAGGTCCTGTTGAGTGGCCACCGAGGTCACCAGACTTCACACACTTGGACTTTTTTTTTTTTTCTGTGGGGCCATTTAAAATCAGTTGTTTAGCAGATGCGCCCAAGAAAAATAGAGGAACTTGAAAGAATTAGATATAAATGCAGTAAAATGAGAGAGGAAACTCTTCGACGTGTTAATGAATCTTGCAGGGCACAGAATTGAGATCAGTTCTGAAAAAGAAGGAGGACATTTTGAACAGCACATATAACAAATAACTAGTAAATAAAATTTTCATGTGTAATTATATTTTTAATAAATTATCCCTAGGGTGCGCGACTTTTGCCACGCCCTGTACGTTGAAACTTTCATCTAAAACATCAGTTAAATGCGTATCTAGCTACGGGATTATTCTCGCATTGTAAATAGTCAAATATAACGAAGCTTTTTAAATTACGTCATGTTTAGGCAAAAATTTCGCCCACCTTAGTCTGGCACAAGGCAGCAAGTATTAGGCACCCAGTAATGAAAAAAACTCACTACAGTAGCAGAGATTTTCTAAGAGTAGCTTAGATGTGGCACAAGGCCGAAAGTATGGGGCATCCAGTGAGGATCGAACACACTTTTCAGTAGTAACTGATTTAGCAAGACAAGCTTGCTAATCATTACACCACGCCGAGGTGCCATCGCTCTACAGTAGTAACTAGATTAAGTTGGTAACAACTGCTCAGGTATGGAAAGCATTTATAATTAATGTCACATTTATTTCTTACAATTGCAAACAAGTGCATTTTTGATAGGGTAATCCATAAATTAGCCCTTGTGTCTAACAACTTAGTTTAAAAAATACCGGATATTATTTTTAGCGACTGTAACATACATAGGTTAAGAGAGACGTGATACAATTTTAGTGAATTGCTCTAGATTACAGCACTTTTTTTTTTTATTAGCGTTGGAATTATTCATTTATTGTATATATAAAAAGTCCGGACATATTTATTGCTCAAAATCATAAATATATAATTATACTCAAAAGGTGATTAAAAAGTTCTTCAAGTTGTGTTTAATTCGAACAAGTCGTGTAAGAAAGGAAAGGCAGTTGGATGTAAATTTATCGACGAGACTCTTTTCAAATATGCGATTGTTTCTAAAGATATTTGAGGGCTGAGGGGGGAATCAAAATAACTTGACGCCGGGAATATATAAAGTGTTTTTTTCTGATAAACGATTTATATGAACTATTATAGAGGAAATCAATTATTTTACAAAAAGTCATTTCCCTAATGTCTATTGTGTGAAAAGTGACATTTCAATACGTTTTACTATACAATTCACGTTTGGATTACAAATATTAAATGTTTTTATTTTAAAGGCGAAAATGGAGAAAAATGAGATGCATTTTTGTCATTTTCTGTTTTTTTTATTCCCGAAAAGTAAAAATCTGAGTATAAACAACAAATAAAAAAAAAAAAAAAAAGGAAAAAAAAAAAAAAAGAAAATGTGCCGTTTATAGAAATGGTGCAATAGCTGATAGTACTGTTCACAAGTGGTTCACTAAGTTCAGAAGTGGAAATTTATATCTGGAAGACTGAGAACGATCTGGTGGCTTAGCACGTCATTAATAATAACCAAATCGAAACGTTGACTTAAAATAATCTCGTTTACATGGTATGGTACCTCACCGAGACACTCCCTAATGTGAGAGTTCGCAAGGCGTTTGAAGACACTTGAATACGATTGTTACAATTTTTAGATACCTCATAATTTAATGAATAAAACATTAATGAAGTGCATTTATAACTTTGAGTCTCTGTTACATCTCAACAAAAAGACCCATTTTTTAAAAGAATAATCACAGGCGATGAAAGGGGGATGGTGTACAACAATATAGAACGAAAAGAGTCATACTCGCCTGATCACGCATCTTCGGATTACCGCTTGTTTCGAACAATACAAGATTTTATGAAAATAACAAAAACCACTTAGACCAATTCATCACCCAGAAAGATTGACGATGGAATCAAGAAGTTGCCTCTAAGATGCCGATAGGTATTGGAACAAAATGGTACACAAGTAGTTGAATAAATTTATGCCCAAATCTCTATTGTTTTTGGGATTCACTTCAAAACGCCTCGATAGTCCTAGGTATGACAATAAACTACATCCGGCAGCAAGACCTCTGCTCGGGAGACTGGAGGTTTTGAGGAGCGTTGAACCACCTCTTACTTGCTGATGTTCCCAGGCCCACCATGATCTGGGGTGGTAGCACCCGTTAGGGTCACAGCCAGTGAATCCCCAAACAAAAACAAAAAAAGATTACGAACAATATAGTATATATTATTTATAGTAAAATTACCAACAATACAATTTTATAGCAATATCACCGACAATACATTAGTTGAAGGCACACAATTGCGTTCAAACTATTTAGATTTTGCCATTAAATAACCCAAGAGGTTGAAATTTCGCTAAACAAAATCAACGAAAAATCGTCCAGAATTTTTGTTTCAAACCAATATATGTGTTGTTTTTCTGTTTATGGTACACAAACTTTATTAAAGGTATTTAAGATTTAGACAATACAATTGTATTTCACGACACAAAAGGTCTGTCTCCATCATTTGCACTTAATATTATGGAGTTAGGTTGCATGTAAATATTGGTAGTCTACGGCATCTGGGTAAACATTTTAATAACTCCTGTCTGATAGTGGTCGCATAAATGTATATTTGTCAAAATATAAGCTCTCCTTTCTTTCAAATTCATGCTTTTCAAATGTCTTCCAAATTGCAACTTCTTAAGAAATCTCAGTATATTTGTATTTTATTGATTTTAGAGTGGGTAGCTTGGAGATGAAATTGCCAAAAAAGAAACACTCAAAGGTTGAGTTGTTTGGGTTCTTTCCCCTGTAAACTACCGATATGATAGAACACATTAGCATCAATTTCAGGTTTATAGTAATTAATTTCGGGTTCGAGTGACTGGGCTAATTCGATTAACAGATAAGGAAATATGTTTTCAGACATTTTTCCAGGAAACATTGCAGGGTTTTATACCGCATCAAATATATAGTAGATAAGTTCGCCTATCGTCCAGTTCACACTCCTCCTCATTTTTTTGAACAGGAGTAAAAGTTTATCCTTTGTTTCCTGTTTAGGATTAGGTTTCTGGTTCCTTCTAAAGTCTACTTCAACTTTATACTTCTGAAGTCTCCAAACTCTGAAATTATATTTACCATTTATTTTTTATTTATTTCCTCAATAAGAGTAGATAAGTTCGTTTATCGTCCGGCTCACACTCCTCCCCTGTCTTTTGAATAGGAGTAGGGGGTTTATCACTTGTTTCTTGTTTAGGATTGGTTTTCCGGTTCCTTCTAAATTCTTCTCATACTTTTTCACTCCCAGTAGTCCATTGCATTTTAGTGGCATTATCGCCTTGCTTGAGGTGAATTGATTAAAAAAAATCTACTTGACCCAGGAATATATTCGGGCAGCTTTCGGTAAAGACCAAACTTCCTCTCCATGGCTATATTAATATGTTAGCCGCTGCACGACGTTAAAGGATACAAATGAGAATAAAATATTTAATAATAGTATTACAGTGCCTTTATTAATGTTGTCTGTTTTTTCTTTTCATATAGTATGGAAAAATCAGGTGAGGAAAACTATAGTCACATGACTTATATAGGAACTTCGCCAGTTGATTTGTTTATATGGCGTCATTTATGTCCACAGGCTCGAGTTGTACGTTTAATATTTCGTTGAAGGCGATTTATTTACCAACCCTTGATAGGAAAATACTTAGTTATTGATTGATTGATTCGCTTTCTACGGTTTATCAACCCGTTGCAGGTTATTTAAAGCCAGAAAGTATTTACTTAAGTTTTACTAATTAGAAAATATTTTTAGATTGTAAGAATTTCTTTTCTTGAGATAATAACGATTTAGTGATACAAGTCTTACTAATTGATCTATAGCTGGGGAGAAAAAGAGGTGGATCCATACCTTTTCCCCAGGATTATTTACCCATAAGTGAATATAACGAACCCGATCGGAATTGGAACTCGGCTGTCCGATTAACAATTCCGAGACATTATCCATTACACCATCCACACATCTAAGCTTACAACAACTGATATTCCCAAGTGGTCACCCATCTAAGTACTGAGCAGGTTCGATGTTGCTTAACTTGTGATCGTATGGAAACCGGTATTGCAACGTAATGTGGTCTTAATGCGAGTATCTATGTGGATGACATAACAGTTTACAGGTGCGCCTCCAAACATCTAGAAAACGAAAATTAAGCAGCTCATCTCTCCTCTAATCTAGCCCAGGTGGCTCAATGGGGGAAGGACTGCTTTGTAAAATTGAAAACGGCCAAAACCAAACTAGTCACGTTCCATCCCTATCACCGCGCAGACCGTGAACTTCCACCTATCATAATGGATGGGTCTTCTCCCAAGGAGTCCCTTGCCATGAACGTCTATTGGGAGTGAAAATCTCCCCAAACCTCAATTGGAACACATATGGACGATCTATTGCTAAAGATTCTAAAAAAATAGTTGGTTCATTGATCTGCTCTAGAAAGTATTTGTCTCTCCCTGCTATACTTTATCTCAGAGTCAGATCAGACCAAAATTGGAATAGTGCTGCCAAATCTGGGCTGTACCTGCCTAATCCTCATTGCCTGTCTTGAGTTTAAAAGTCTCTATGCAGCACAAATGGATTAATTATCTTCCACCCTACAACCCCTTTCCCACGGACGAAATGTTGCGAGTCTCTTGCGGATCTATCGCTATTTCCCAGCCGTCTTCTAACGAGCTACATTGCTTAGTGCCACTAGTCCGGATCTTTGCAATTGGAACTCGCTATGTCCCATACACAAGAATGAGTCATCTCCACTCCTTTCGTATTCCGGTAGTATTATCAACTCTGGTTATTTAAAAGCTGAAACATATTTCGGGTTGTAGGAGGTTACAATACAGTACACAATGTTCCCAAGTGGTTCTCCATCTAAAATAATTATACGGCTCAACACTGTTTAACTTCGGTGATCGAACGAGAACCGATGGTTCCAGCGCAATTCTACGCCGAAGAGAGTTGGAGAAATTCAATAGATTTACACTACATTCTAGCGGGAGAATTATATAAAAGTCTTAAAAATTTCAAGACATTTTCCCAGACAATGATCTCGTAGTATTTCTGTAACAAAGCCACAAAAACATACGTGACTTCGAGCCAGAAATCAAAGGAGCCGCCATTGGATCAGTGTTCATCGTTATAAAGATATCGAATTATTGGAAGGTCATTGTGTTTGTTAGCCAGTCGGACGACGTTCAATGATTTCGTTCACGTGACAGTTTTTGGCGGCAAAGACTTGATCAAGCGAGTCATAATTTTTCTCGTACAATGCACACTGACACAATCAAAAACTTGTTTTAAAATTTCTGTGTGCGCACACAGCCACACATGCTAAATAAACAAAGTATATGAGTTCTGTGCCGAATGTATTTAGGCTTTTAATGTGAACGGGAAAAGAGTCTACCTAGGGTAATGAAATGTTTGTTTCCTTTCGAAGATTTCCTTGGGACCTCAAAAATTATCCAAGCGTCCCTTTCACGTAACAAAAAAAAAAAAAAAAAAAAAAAATTGTAAAATACTGTTTCGGGATCGCCATCAGCTGCTTCGTCAAGATTTCCTTAACGTTTAATCCATGATCTGAAATCTCCGTATCACACGTGGTTTTAACATTTTGAAATGCCAGAAATAGTAGGCAGCCAAATTGCAGAGATGCTGACAGATGTGGGTGATGCGATGATCAACCGCCACCACCCTGCACGTCATTGTAAAAGCCAGGGTTAGATAGAACATAAGCTCATTCAATGTCATTCCTCTGCTGACTTAAAAAAAAATCCCACTAGAATGTAATGAGAGCACACACGACTGTCTCCTTTGATTGATTATTAAATTTTATCAAGGCTACGCAAGCGGTTCTTGAGATATTCGAAAAATAGTTGGAAAATTTCCAGAAAAAAACTTATGTTAAACATCTCAATGCAGCATAGAAACAGATGAACCTTAAGCAGTTTAAATTTTTTTGTTGGGGGGGGGGAGTGTATAATATTGGAATAAGAATAAAAAGGAAATTTTAAGGAAACTATAAACTATAAAGAAACTGCTGCTAACAATCAGATATATTTTTTTCTGCCAATAGAAGTAGATAGATTCGCCTATCGTCCGGTTCACACTCCTCCACGGTCTTTTGAACAGGAGTAGAAATTTATCTTTTGTTTTCCGTTTAGGCCGTCCTGGGTATGACAATAAACTACATCCGCGTCCTGGGTAAGCTGATAACCTACATCCGGCAGCAAGGCCTCTGATCAGGAGACTTTGAGGAGAGTGGAACCACCTCTTAATTGCTGGTGTTTCCAAGCCTACCTTGGTGATAGCACCTGTTAGGGTCCTAGCTATGGGCAAATAGTTAGACCCCAAACTGGAGTCAAAACACTATTAAAGTGTAAAAATAGGTTTTAATACTAGCAATACATTTTTGTAAAAAAATATTAACAGCAATACATTTTTAGAAAAAATTATTACCAGCAAAAAAATCTTGGCATTAAACAACCCATTGGGGTTGATATGCCGTAAAACAAACCAAACCAAACCAAACCAAACATGTTTATGATAGGATTTTTGGTTGCTTCTAATGTCTACTTCCAGTCTATACTTCTGACGCCTCCGACTGAACTATGAAATATTATTTACTAATTAAATCTTGACCTCTTGAACTTTAGAGTTAGTCGTTGGTCTTCCTGCATAGAACTAAGAACTTCACTTTTTGTTCTTTCTTGCGTTCATACAACACCACACAGTAACCCTCTACCTTGAGTGACTCTTGGGCCTTGTATTGGGTGAACATTAGTAAAAAATAAGAGACAGTTGGAATTTCTAGGACGCATACTGAGGAAAGAAGGCTTGCAGAATTTAACATTCGCAGGACACATTGAAAGTACGAAAATCAAGGGAAACAACGAGTAACCCAGATAACAACTTTCCGTGCACATTACGCATGCAGGTGGGGAAAAATTCAAAAATGAAAGTAAAAAAGGATTAAGTAATTGAAAACATTTGTATTTTTTTTAGCAGAAGGTTTTAAAGAATTGTCACGGACCTATGAAAAGATTTTAAGAGAATGAAAACCTCAGCATATATTATATTTATTGGACGCCTGTCGTATAGCGATTATTAGCAAGCTAGTTTTGGATAATATTCACTTGCAGAGTTTGATTCTCACTATGTGGCCTTGTACTAGACAAAGTCAATATCAATAATGGACACATGCCGTAGAACGATTGTTAACAAGCTCTCCTGGCAGAATATATACGGTATATGTTTAACTATTCATTGATTTGGGTTTAATCTGCTCCACGTGGTTAGCGTTCAGACCATGAGATCGGGTTCGAATTCCTCCACGGCCGATTTTATCAAGGATATGACGTTGATAATATTGGCCTGGGATGACGATCCCAGCTCGCGGCATCGTTGGGAAGTAAATGAAAATCATACCCAAGTCTTGGGAGTGAAATTGGGTAGACGAAATTGCTTGTGCGAAGTCGGGCTTTCAGTGTCAGTCAGTCAGTTATGTGCCATACGTGATACTCGCTTAGGTGAACTTGTATCTTTCGATACATGATTAACGAGATTATTTTTGCCATTTCTTTCTGCGGTAGACCAGTTGCCATTAAAGGCATGTTATGTCCTGCAATTTACCCAAAGCTGGTGGAGGGGGAGGGAAGAAGAAGAGAATATTTCCCAAGAGTATCGTAAGTGAATGTAATGGATTCAACTGGAATTCGAACTCAGCTCTCCGATTCCGCAATCTGAGTCGCTATCCATTACTCAATATACTGGCTGTATTTAAACGAGTGATCTCGCCAGATTATGTACTCTCTCCCAACTATAACTAAGTTCCTCTCAGCATAGTTACAGTATAAACCACAGGTTGGCTTTTGTGGGTGTTGGAGAATCGCAAATGAGCGTCTTCAACGGGGATTAGCAAGCAATCTTGGCAAATAGGCACACTTAGAAACGAGCAGCCAGCTAAACAATCAGACAAAGGCAGTTTTATTTGCCTGCTAAACATTACCTCACGGCAAGGCGTCGTTTACGTTGAAGGGCACAAGTTTTTTTCGTTTGATCTTTTCACTCCAATCAAGACAATAAAGTCTCTAAAATAAAGGATTTCTGAGTGTCAGAGAATATGAGAAATATATTAACGAGAGAGAACAATAAAAGAACAAGAAGATAAAAAAAAGAAAAAAGATAGCGATTGATATCATATTTAAATTTTTGATGACCAAAGGTCACTGGAAAGCAAGAATTCGGAAGAGAGTTCCACAAGCGAGAAATGTGAGAGAAGTTTTTTTTTTTAAATCGATTTCACCTCATCCAAAGGGCTTCATCATCAATCCCATACGTGATACACGCTTAGGTGATCATGTATCTTTCGATACATGACTGACGAGGCAGATTTTTCCAGCAGTCGGTAGCCATTTCTTTCTGCGGTAGACCAGTTGCCATCGAAGGCTATAGAACCCGGTCTACCATGTTATTTACCCATAGCTGGGGGAAGAAGAGTATTCATACCTTTGCTAAGGTCTTACTGAGTTTGAAAGAATAGGAAAAAAGAGAAATATTATTAAGGAGCGAGAATAAGAGAAGATTAATCAAAAAGACAGTAGATAGCAACTGCATTTATATTTTTGAAGATTTAAGCTGGGTCGAAATCATGAAGACGGAAGGGAGTTTCTCAAGCGAGAAGTGCGAGAAAAGAAACTGTTAGCATAGAATTTACGGTACCATCTAGCCATTTCAACTATAAGTTGATGAGACCTTGCCGCGAATCTAGTACTGCGCTGGGTACCATAGAGAAAAAACCTCATCAGAACAATTACCATTAAAATATTTATAGAAAAGTTACAGCGGTATGAAGCCAATACATTGTATACAGTAAGAATAGAAATGATGTCAGACGAGCTCGTTGACCTCTCCCCCCCGCTATTCAAGAGATGGTTATGTAGTAGAACTAAAAATAAAAAGCGGTGGATATGCTTAAGAAAGAAAATTGAAATTGCTTTCGCTGTTGCTTTTTAGGATATGACATAAAAAATGGCAAATTTATTCGGAAGCACTACCTCCCACGAACTGAGTTCTATCGACAAGTTCGCTTTTGGCCGTTACACCAGTGCCAAGCAAAGCTTTTGAAGTGATCACCAACATTGTTATTTCTGTTACGGCATTCGAAATTCTTCAATAGAATCTGTTGCACTTTTAATGCGATACACACACACACACACACACGCAGGCGTGCATACATATATACAAAGACAGGAGACATGCAGATATATATATATATATATATATATATATATATATATATATATACACATTGAAAACTAAATATGAGTTGTGCGTTATATTCATTATACTACTGACTTACAGATACACACATACACATATATACAAACATTTATATGTGCTTGTATGTGTACAAGCGTATACACACACATATATATACGTATCTGCGTACACACATGCACACGCAGAGATATATATAGGAATATACTTATATATATATATACATACATACAAGGCAGACATTAAAATATGTAGTATAATACAAATGGTTTTATTCATTAGACTTACTGATACCCCCCCATATATATATATATATATATATATATAATAAGGACGAATAGTAAGATTTATAATCCGGTGTTCTTAGCTATTATTTTTATTTAAAAAAAAAAACAGTGCTCGATACAAATATTATAATTATTTTCTTTTTTAATATATTTTAATATATAATTTTTTAATCATATTTTTAAAAAAGAAAATTATTATATATATATATATATATATATATATGGCAGCAATCTCTCATTTATACATGTTTCGTTAAAAAGGAGACGCAGAGAATATCTTGTGACATATTTAAAAATGTTTCTTTCGTCCTTACCAGCTTCTAAATTGTCCATATTTTTTTTTCAAAGAGTTATTTTCGATTCCTCCTCCACTTCCTATTACTGCTACTCCTAATGATAATGGTTAAAGTATTTACCGTATATATATATATATATATATATATATATATATATATATATATATATATATATATATATATATATATATATATATATATATATATATATATATATATATATATATATATATATATATATATATATATATATAAATAATGGTCAGGGTTGAATTAGACCAGGAAGCAGTAGTATAAAAAAGTGCCTAATACATATATAAAAAGATAAAAATTTAAATGGGGGTTTCAACCTTTCGGTATCTTTATGCGCTTTCCTAGCGCTATTTATTTATATATATATATATATATATATATATATATATATATATATATATATATATATATATATATATATATATATATATAATAAAATCCAGCAGCTGATATATAATCCAAGTGAATCCTATTAATATAATATAAAATAAAATATTAAAACTGATTCACATACAGAATTTTATAAATTAATTTATAAGGTGAAATGATGGTCATCAATTTCATGGATTAATCCTAATTCCTATCGTTTGCAATATATATATATATATATATATATATATATATATATATATATATATATATATATATATGTATGTATGTATAGCTAAAATACGGATTTTTTCGGGGTAAGATCCATTTAGGTGAAACCTAAATAGGTTTTCCTGGCTCTTTAGGATTTATATTAGTTATTCCCATTCTACTTAGCGTATTGAGCACTCTATGTTTTAGTCTTTCTACTCGCTTGTTTTTTTTTTTTCTCTTTTGGACTAAAAACTTAAGGCAAAGTCGATTTATTTCGCCCTGTTCGGATGTTTTTAGTTCTTTCTTTTTTATTTCCAATTTTTTCCTCAGGTACCGATTTGTTTTGACATATCTACGAGTTGAGCTATCTGATTTTTTTTACCAGACGAGTATCCTTTTATTAGTATATATATATATATATATATATATATATATATATATATATATATATATATATATATATATATATATATATATATATATTTTCTATGTTTTAATGGTTTTGCAGAGATCTATAAACATATATCCGATATTTATTATGATATATGGAAAAAGTTATCTGGTGTTAATCATGAGCCTGACCTAAGAAACAGACGACCAATGAAAATCCTGGATCAGAACGGATCACGAACATTATTTAAAAAAAAAACAATCAGCTTCCCTCAGAATGTTTTCTTATTTTCCCTATTATCTTAATATACAAGAAAATCATATTCTTTATTGAATATCAGTTGGTAGCCAGTGTTCGCAAACCTCATCCAGATTTGGCATGAAGTAAGAAAGGGAAGTAGGGTACATGCCTGTCTTGAAAATCTGCATTAAAAAAATACGACGTGTTATTTGGTCTCGAACACTGATTTCAAATATCTGGCCACAAGTGAGTGTCGAACTCGCTACAGTAGTAATGGCTTGCGAGATAAGCTTGCTAACCATTATTCCATCGTGAAGCATCCGATAATTTAATAAACACTTTCTATTTAGAATGGGGTTGAAAATGCGATGTAAGCGGAGAAAGCTAACCAGAGGCCTATTTACAAAATAGACCGGCTTCATAGCGGGGATTCAAAATAGGATTAGCGGAAAGTGAGAAAGGGTGGGAAAGTGGGCTGAAAAAGAAAAAGGAGGAAGAAAGAAAAGGTGAGAAAGAAGACAGAAAAGAAGAAAGAAAAGAAGAGAAAGAGAAAGAAAGAGAATGCAATGAGTAAGAAGTAAAAGAAGGGTCGAAGATGTGGAGAGTGAGAGAAACAGAGAGACAGGAGACAAAGAAAGAGGGGAAAGGGTGAAAAAGAAAAAGAGCGAGTGGGCAGCAAGACAGAATGGAGGAAGGTAAGAAGAAAGAGAGAGAGAGAGAGAAATAAGAAGTTATCCGAAGTTATTAGAGTATAGTAGATGGGGAGGGTCGAAGGTGAGAGGTAAGAATATGACTTGACCTACTGCAAAACAGCAGGAGTCTGGCGACCGAAAGGGTTGATGTAGCAGGTCCATCATTGAAGCAGTAGATTACCCACTGTGGCGTTTAATTGGTTAACGAGAAAGTGACTCGACGCCTTACATCACTCGTGTGAACCAGACAGAAGTTGGCATGAATGGAGAGTCTTGGCTCCCTTGCAAATGAAGGTTAATCGTTTGGTGCAATTCGCGGCATCTTGCAATGTGAAAGAGAGGCAAACGTGTATAGAGAAGAAGAAGAAGAAGAAGAAGAAGAAGAAGAAGAAGAAGAAGAAGACGAAAAAAAAGAAAAGAAAAAGAAACAAAACAAAACTAAAAACAAGGAAGAGATGATATAAAAAATAACGATTTGAAAGTATCTCTCAGATGATGTGACACATTAGAAAAGGAAACAAAATATATGCAGATATCTATATTACACACCCATATAAAACAACACACACACACACACACACACACACACACACACACACACACACACACACACACACACACAAATAACGCATACACACACAGTCTTCTTCTTTATGTGCCGTGTCCCTCCAGGACGTACCTTGGGTATGACGATAAACTACGTCCAACAGCAATGCCTCTGATTAGGAGGTTTTGAGAAGCGTGGAACCACCTCTTAATTGCTGGTATTCCCAGGTCCACCCTAACCAGGGGTGGTAGCACCTGTTAGGGTCCCAGCTATGGGCAAATAGTTAACCCCGAAACAGAGGTAAAAAGCATTTTGAAAGTGTAAAAATTGGTTTTAATACCAGAAATACTTTGTAAAACATTATTACCAGAAATAAATTTTTGAAGAAAAAAAAAAATACTATGACCAGCAATATATTTTTGAAAAAAAAAAAAACTATTACCAGCAATACGTTTTTGAAAATAATATTACTAGCTATACAATTTTGACGAAAAAAATATTACCAGAAATACATTTATGACAAAACAAAAATATTACCAGGAAAAAAAAAGTTGTCGGCATTAAATGACCCATAGAGGTTGATATGCCGTAAAACAAAGCAAACCAAACCAAACCTGCAGGACGTACGTGATTATGGCTCTTCAAAATTTCCTGTCCTTTGTAGCTCTTAATAAATTTTATCTTTTTGTTATCTCTTCTAAACCATGTTCCTCCATCCATTTACTCAAGCCCGCTAAGTAGGTTATGTGTTGTTTTCCTCTGTCCCTCTTACCTTCAATTTGTGTTGTGAGTATGAAATTTTCCGAACCGTCTTTCCTCATTATGTCTCCTAGAAATTTCAACTACCTCTCCCTGATGTTAAGCATAATTTTCCTTTTTGTTTGCATTTTCTATTAAACTATATCGTTGCTCATATGCGCATATTTAAAAAAGAAAAAAAATATATGCAGATATCTGTATTACACCCCAATACATAGCACACACACATAACGCACACACACACACACACACATAACGCACACATACACTCACATAACGCACCGTGTTCCCTCAAGACCTACGCGATCAAGGCAGTTAAGCAAGTGAGTGTCGTAAACATTTATGACTTTAATTCAATCATCACTAGACGCTATTTATGCAGTAATACGTAAATCTAAGTAAATGTCAAGAACATCGCCATGTGACAGTAGTTATCGATTTATTCTCGTAGAGAATTCATACTGCTGTCAGTTCGATGATTTGTGCTGTATTTAGTTAATCGTATTACATCTCAGACGCCGAGCCATCTAACAGTGTTTATCAAGCTAATTTTGCATATCAGCGTGCATTCGATCTTCATAGCTACCCAACACTTGTCGTTGTGTTCCGTGCTGAGATCTAAGCTAAGTATAATCATTATAGTTATATCAATCCTCAACGGGCGCTTTACACTTATGCCTTACTTAGCTAAGTAAATATCGATAAAAAAGTAGATATTTGCGTTTCGTCTTATCTGGAGAATAAATGGCAAGCGAAATAAATAAAATATTTTTATTCTTTTTCAAACGAAAATCGATGAAGTCGCCAAATGGAAACGAGGCTGTATTTTCAAAACAGGATGAAAGTCGGTTAAAGACACAAGCAGACATGTCAAAAAAGAAGGCAAGGCTTTCATCAGTAGTCAAGTGGTCTGACGAACAAGATTAGTCCATTAAGAGTCAGTGGTAAAAGTGAAACAAAAATGTTTGTGCAATATATTTATTCATATAAGAAAGTAAAAAACAACAAAAAAACAAAAAACAAAAAAACAACGGCCAATCAAGTGACAGCGAATATTAGCAACACGATGAGAGACGAGGGCTGTCATCGCAAGATTAAAAGTATTTTTTTCTGTTTCCTATAAACTTATATCACTATATATGCAATACAAGGCCCTAGAGACACTCGATGTAGAGGGTTATGAAATTAGGTTGTTGTACACAGGAGTAATTAAGTGCAAATTATGGATGATTCAGCTCTGGACGTGGCTTGTCGGCTCTTAGCTGAACTAATGATATTAAGAATTCTAGCTCGTCTGGCCATTTGTCATGGAAGTTTGCAACGTTTCGTCTGTGGGAAACGGTCTGTAGTTCATCCCTTACAAGGCCACGTAAACGCTTTTGAATTTTGTGAGGATTGAAATTTCATAATAAAAGAACGATTCCATTTTTGATTTGAAGAATTTTTCAACGAATTTTTTGATGCCTGGAACTCGTTGGGACAACTTCTCATTCTAAGGGTGCTGATAAACGGGAACAACCTAGCATTTTTAGCTCCTTTATAAAGCTTTTTCAGTAAAATATTGCATATAAAGCGATCCATCCGTATAAGCAATGATAAAATAATTGCGTGCAAAAGATTCCAGCGAAAAAAGCGGTTTACAACTGTGTATACGGTTTATAATTTTCAAAAATGAACCCCGGTGGCGTTTGCCTACACCAATAATTTGGGATTTATCTTTGAAACGAAAATATATAGTGTATTAGAGTTCTTGATATGAAGAAAATAGAGGAATGAAGATAGCGTTGCGCTAACTTTTAAAATGTAGAGAGTCTGCTTGCCTTGAAAATTTGATTTTTCAGCTTCTATCTGAATTCGAACGCATCTACAAGTGCATCATCTCGTGTGAATAGTGAATATATATATATATATATATATATATATATATATATATATATATATATATATATATATATATATATATATATATATATATATATATATATAATATATATATATATATATAAAATATAAAATTCTCAAACACTAATATTTTATGGTCGTTTTTCGTAATCACGACTCAATTCATACAAATTCTAATTACGATTAAGTGTAACCATGAAATATTAGTGTTTGAGCCTTTTATATCATATTCTTGCTCTGTCTTATACATAGATCTCTAACCGGATTTCATCCTCTTGGAAATATATATATATATGTATATATATTAAAGAGATTTTTATGTTTAACGTTATTTACTGCTTATAAAATTCGACCTTGCCTACCGAACGCTCCTTTGTGGCCGAGAGGTTAGGCACGTCAGCGTAAATGACGGTTCCGTATAGGATGCAGGTTCGAATCCTGTCAAAGGACGAATATTTTTTTATGAAAATTTCTCGGACATTCAGGCCGGTAAATGTTATTTAATACTGTTTATTATAAACAGAGCATTTACTTAAATACTTGTATCTATAAAAAAGAACGTTAAACATAAAAATGTCTTTAATAAATAAATTCTCGGACTTTGTCCATTTCTTAATATATATATATATTGACCACAAATATGATCTATCTATCTCTCTATATATATATTTCACGAACTAAAGAAGCCACTGTGGTCTTTACTAAAGTTTATATAGTTTTTTTTACTAACTATTAAATTAAGGTTTTCCGCGCAATTTAGACGGTTTAGTATAATGAAAATAGACTATTCTAGTTGTTACTAGTCAGAATTAATCAAAATTCATCTTTGTTGCTTACATCACCATCTCTCGACTTCACAGCCATCTTCTTTCAGTGATGCTACACTCAAAATATTATTTGGTAGTAGTAAATAGTTTAATAATAAAAGAAAAATGTAGAGGAATATTGTATAAATTTAACTCTATCTAAGGCTGGGTGTTTGGGGGGTGCTTTTTTGCGCGCGCACTGTTGTTACAGCTCTTTTTGTAGTTGAATAATAATTTGAAAATGATACTAAAAATAGACTCTTGCGAAACAATTTTGTCGAGTTATTCTAAAGGTAATTATGAATATAGTAAAAACTTTTGTTTCATAAGAGCTGACGTCAAATATTTTCTGTATTTTTAGAAAATTATAAATAATCTTACTTTACTCTTCACATGTAGATAATTTATGACTTCATTCCACAAATATTTCAAAGCGTATTCAGCATGAATACTTTGCATTGTAAATGGCTAATTGAAGCATTTGTTTTATTTTTATTTTTTAATATTTCAAAGTCACACTTTTGATGTCGTCAACCGTTCCAGACCCAATGAAAAGTTATATAACATGTAAATGAATAGTCTTGCAAAGTTTCAAACAATTAAGCCATTATTTAGATGTCTATAACATTTTAAATTTGTCGAGAAAAACAATAGATGCCTCTCGCTTTTCAAAACACAAAAATAACGTGGTCGAGATGAGGTTAAATGAGGAAACATTGATTCCTGGTTAGCGACTATTTTCATTAATTCTAGCATGTAGTAGACTTAGCTAAGTCGGACACAAGGCCACTAATTTGGAGAATTCACGATCTCATTACAGTCGTAATAGTCATCTCGATTAGCATTCTAACCACTACCCCACAATTTCTAGAGTTACTTCCCAATAATTTTGAAAGTGTAAATGCAGGATTGTCTGCAAAATAAGCAGCCCAACATGTGAATTACAAATTGGAGGCACCAAAATCAAACATGTACAACAATTTAAATATTTCAGAAGTGTTTTAACAGAGGACAGAAAGTGCGATACTGAAATCCGAAGGTGTATTGGGAAAGGAAAAAGTGCCTTCCAAAAGCTAAGCAAAGTATTAAGAAATTGAAAATAAAAACCCAAAGAAAAGAGTATTAAACTCTTATGTAATATCAATCCTTCTTTATGACAGTGAATACTGGACAATCTCCTCAAAGATGAAAAAGAGACGTGAAGCAAAAAATGCGGTTCTACAGAAGTTTGCTGAGAATGCCATGGACCGAACAAGGGAGAAACGATGAAGTTTTAGAGAAAATGGAAACAAGACACTTATACTTAATATAAGAAAGAAGCAGTTAAAATTTCTAGGGCACATAACGAGGAAAGAGGGCTTGGAAAATTTGACACTCACAGGACAGTTTGAAGGCAAGAGGGACAGGGGAAAATAATGTATAAC